AGGGGGGGTGGTGCCTTAGCTCCTGGGGGTGTCACACTCTTTGCTGTCCGTGTCCTCGGGGTACGCGTGCCAGGTCAGCCGCTCCTCGTAGAAGGCGATGACAATTTGGGGACACTTGAGGTTGGCCTCCTTTGCCAGCACCAGGTCGGCCTCATCCGTGTCCTTCCTGAGAGGGGACACAAAATAAGGGGGGGTTACGGGAGGAAACGGAGGTTGTTGTCACCCCTACTCCCAACCCCATCACCTTGGGGACACGGGGGTGGCCTCACCATTTCATGAGGAACATGAGGTCCCCGCAGGAGTCGGTGGCACCGATGATCTTCTCGGGCTCCAGCCCCCGCTCGAAGCCCCGGGCGATGTCGTTGCTCTGTGGATTTGGGGGAAAAAAGGAGGATTTTTGGGGATGGGGGGGTGATGTGGTGTGGGGACAAGGAGGGCGGGATGGTCCTGGTTTGTGGCAGTTGGAGGTCACGGAGTTGGGGACATCCTCCCTATGCTGGTGCTGGCGCTTTGTGGTGGCACTGGGTGCCCGTCCCCATCCCTGGGTGCCTGTCCCTGTCTCCTGTCCCCATTCCTGGGTGTCTGTCCTTGTCTCTTGTCCCTGTCTCCACCCCTGGGTGCCTGTCCCCATCCCTGAGTCCCCGTCCGTCCCCATCTCCTGTCCGTGCCCCTATCCCCATCTCCTGTCCCCATTCCTGGGTGCCCATCCCTGTCCCTGGGTCCCCATCCCTGCACCTGCTCCATGTCCCTGTCTCCTGTCCCTGTTTCCAGGTGCCCATCTTTGTCCCTGTCCCTTTTCCCATCCCTGGGTGCCTGTCTCCATCTCCTGTCCCTATCCCTGGGTGCCCATCCTTGTCCCTGTCTCCTGTTCCTGTCCCCACCCCTGGGTCCCCATCCTTGTCCCTGTCTCCTGTCCCTGTCCCCATCCCTGGGTGCCCATCCTTGTCCCTGTCTCCTGTCCCTGTCTCCTGTCCTTGTCCTCATCCCTGGGTTCCCATCCTTGTCCCTGTCTCCTGTCCCTG